CAGAAACCTATGATCAATAACAAGATTTAGATCAAATAATTGCTCTATAACCTGTCCTTGCAAGCAATTTTGCATACACTCTGACAATGTGCCATAACCTGTCAATCCAATCAGTGTTGCACTTGTTTTCTCATCATTCAATACTTTGTGCCTATAGATCGACCGACCAATTAGATGTGATATACCACTGTTAAGACCAGTCGTTAACATCCACACACCTGCAATAAATTCAAATAATATACGATATTCATTCTGACACAAACTGAAATTCTTCACTATACCTTTTGTAGCTGCCAATGTACTAATACCATTCATAAATTCGTTCTCTAAAATTTCCGACATAGAAAAGAACTGAGCTCCACCGAAACAACTGACAATCAAATGAGGTGGGTTATCTGTATTATGAATAATTAGTTCGATGAGTTTTTCATATGTCTGTTTCTCAGTCACACTACATCGAATAAACTAGTAAAGAAAAAAATCCACATATACTAAGAAATTTAGTTAATCCATAAGACTAAAACTAAAGGCTACATACTAGGCCACCATATGGCAAACTTCCTTAATCTTGGTTTGTTAAAGATCGATAGTTATGAGAATTTCGAGCATTATGATCATAAGGTTCTGAATGTAACTGTTCAGGTAATGTAATAATGTGAAATTGATTGTTGGCTACTGCTTTTTCTATTAGTAGTCTCCAGTTATTTCTATAACCTGTGAAAGTTTGAAATGTATCGTTATCATTATTCAAATGATGGTCTGATCGTTGGTCTTTATGGTTAACTTGATACTGTTTACTTCTGTCCATCAGAAGCAATTTCTTTTCACACAAGACGTTCGGTTAGATTGTAATGCAAAGATAACTTACAGTCAACTCCTCTGTCGCAAAAAATGGCGTCTTGAGAAAAAAAGCAAGAAACTCTAAAAGAAAAAGCATTACTTTATGTTGCGACGTTGTTTGTATCCTGAAGTCATAGAAAATCAAAACAATTCTTAATAGTATTGGGTATGAGTTGCGCAAGCAGTCTATTCGTTTTACGTGAAGTTTATTGTTTAACGCAACATTTTTCGAATAAAAATCGACATTCTAGCGACTTCGCATTGAGAATAAGCATATTTATAAGTGCATTCAAACAAATTTCTATCGATCCATTCAAAACACGTTGACTTGAATGGGATGGAATAATCTGACATATCAAATTGAACTCTTATCATTTCATCCGATCATTTCATAATAGTTACTATAGAATAAATTAAAACGACTGATGAACGAAAAGATAATAAAATATGAATGAAGTCCACTCGATACTTGAACTAGAGGGTGGGTGGGTATGGTTGTGGATGTGGGTCGGTGGGTGTAAGTGTGCAGTTGGATACTACTTTTGACTTTAATCACATCCACACCCATTGACACTCATATCCTACCCACACTCACACTCTCAAGATTAAAAAGTCCATTAAGTTTCAAACGAATTTGATCTGTTGTTCTTGTTACATCAAAAAAGTTACCTATTATAAGTTTTACATCGTTTTTGTTGTTTTTAGTTTAATGAATCTACACACACTCCCAGAGAGAGATTGCAATGGAAAAATACCATTAAAACGGTCTTTTCCATTGAAATTTGTGTCTAGGTTTTTATTTTATCTTCTTTCGTTTCATCTAATTCCCTGTTGCATATCTGATTCGATATATTCTCTAAACATATTTAAATTTTTATCAGACAAAAACAAACTAACAAACATATCCTTTTCCCTTAGTATTGATTATCCTCAAGTTTGAATGAAAACTATTCAATCATCTAAAGAATAAAATATTTTACTTATCAATTCGAGTTATTTCCATCGTTTCGTAAACATCGGGTGAAATTCAGTGCATCATGTCAAACATTATTTTTTGATCATTTTCACAGCGTGTTATAATTGTCTAGTTCCATCATGAACTTATCAGAATTCTTTAACTGATACCTTAGAATCTAATTTTTATAAATGAAAGGAGGGGGGACGGTTTGCACGTAAAACGGCCCTAAATAAAAATCATCTAAGAACACTTTATAAATTTAAATTTCATCCTCCTCTAAGTGAGAATGAGAGATCTGGACCTATTCCAGGCCATCTTTCGAGACATCTTCTCGCCATTTCTACTAAGGCCAGAAGCATAATCAATATCGGAATCCCCCACGGAGCTTAACCACGACAGTTTACCAATTCACTCTCATACTTTCAGGGCAGATAGAGCTTTTCAAGAGCTACAAAATGATCACAAATTGTTAAGGAAAATATGCTGCGCTCGAAAATTTCCAAAGACCACACTGTCCAAGTATTACAGGAAGATCCATCGGTGGAATAGTATGGTCCGCAAGATTTTGAGTACTGCTCCCGATACCATCGTCATTTTTTCAGTGCAGATAGAACTTTTCAAGAGCTACAAAATGATCACAAATTGTGAAGCAAAATATGCTGTGCTCGAAAATTTTCAAAGACCGTACTGTCCAGGTTCTACCGAGAAGCTGATTGTTGGGATAGTATCGTCCGTAGAATCTTAAGTTTTGCTCCTGATACCATCGTCATTTTTTCAGTGCAGATAGAACTTTTCAAAAGCTACAAAACGATCACAAATTGTGAACCGAAATATTCTGTGCTCGAAAATTTCCAAGGACTACACTGTTCAGGTATCACAGGAAAACCTGTTGTTGGAATAGTATGGTTCGCAAGATTTTGAGTACTGCTCGTGATACCACCATCATTATTTCAGTGCAGATTGAACTTTTCAAAAGCTACAAAATGATCACAAATTGTGAAGAAAAATATGCTGTGCTCGAAAATTTCCAAGCACCAGACTGTACAGGTATCACAGGAAAGCCGATTGTTTATATAGTAGGGTCCGTAGGATTTTAAATATCGCTCCTGATACCACCGTCCTTTTTTCAGTGGAGAAAGAACTTTTCGAAAGCTACAAAATGATCACAAATTGTGAAGCAAAATATGCTGCGCTCGAAAATTCAAGGACTACACAGTCCAGGTTCTATAGGAAAATCCATTGTTCGTATAGTATGTACAGTAGAATCTCATCCATCCCTCCTGAGAGCATTGTGGTTTTTTACATAATGTAAAAGGTGTCATTTAAATTGATCGGGTGGTCCAGTTCCAATAGTCGTAATTAATGTCCATTCAAAGATTCGAATGTCGAATCCTAGGGACCGATAATGGTGCAGAGGACGTCTTATAAGTCGATTGATCCTGAATCCAAAATATCAACCACTAAGGAAGGGCCTCATGCCCAATCAATAGCAGAATGTGTTTCTACCTCCTTCCTATCACCGTCAGGTATGGCATCTAGCACACCAATATCCGAAAACATCCATTAACTAGTACGCAACGAATCGACCACACAGCTGTCCATAATGAACCACGAACAACTACTTCACTTATCACGGATGAGGTTGTTCAGAAAAAAAAGACCAACTAATAACTAACCAATTGGCAGCAAGGATGTCGATGCTAAGTTGCAATCAGTGGCATTTAAAGTACTTACACGCATGTACTCAAAAGCACACAACAGCATGAAATAGCGTCCAACGCACCATTCATCCCAGCGTAATAATTTCGATCACTACTACAGAGTCTATCATACATCATTCCATCTAAACATATTATTGAACACACTATATCGATTGTTCATTAACCGATAAGCTTACAATGCTGTGCTCTTTCACATTTGAAACTAATTCAATGAGCCTTATTCCCATTTCGATTTTTGGCCACGAACATATATAAAAGAGGCCACACAATAGATTACGTGTTATTGAGGACGGTCTTTTTTCTTTTATCTCTCTTTATGAATCGTCTTCGTTGTTTAAACAACGAAGACGATTCATAAAGAGAGATAAAAGAAAAAAGACCGTCCTCTATAACACGTAATCTATTGTGTGGCCATTTTTATATATGTTCGTGGCCAAAAATCGAAATGGGAATAAGGCTCATTGCTGCTTAATTTTTAAATCTGACTTTGCCACTGATGAGAGGCTCAATCTGCACAATAAAAGTGGTAATGCTATAAGGTACCCTGCTCACGATTGTGTAGATCATGACATCCGAACAATTGCTTTTTCTGCAGAACCTGGACACTGCAGTCCTTGGAAATTTTCGAGCACAGCATATTTTGCTTGATAATTTGTAATCGTTTTGTAGCTTTTGAAAAGCTCTATCTGCACTAAAAAAATGACGATCGTATCAGAAGCGATACTTAAGATCCTACGGACGATACTATCCCAACAATGAGCTTCTTTGTAGAACCTGGACGGTATGGTCTTTGGAAACTTTTGAGCACAGCATATTTTTCTTCACACTTTGTGATCATTTTGTAGCTTTCGAAAAGTTCTTTCTCCACTGAAAAAAGGACGGTGGTATGAGAAGCGATACTAAAGATCCTACGGACCATACTGTCCCAATAATCAGCGTTTCTGTAGAACATGGGCAGTGTGGTCTTCAGAAATTTTCGAGCACAGCATATTTTGCTTCACAATTTGTGATCATTTTGTAGCTTTCG